AAGCAGTTTGGATGCCTCTGGCCACCAGTGGAGCCTTCCCCTGGCACAGGCAGGGCAGATGTGAGCCCAGCTCCCTGCAGCCCCCAGACTATGAAGGTGGCCCTGGGAAGAATTGTTTCCCAAGGATGAGAACAGGCAGACCCCTGCTCTAGCACCACTCCCCCACATTTTGGGGACAGCTGAGATGATTTGCACAGGGGCTGTTCAGCCAGGGGCGCTCTGGGTGTCTGTGCTGCATGTGAGTGGTGAGGAAGGTAAAGCAAGTGTAAAGTGAATGAGTTCATTAGGCTAATGAAATCACTGTCCTAATGAGTGACCCATCCACTGAATGGGGCATCTGTTAAGTCAGTGTGAGTGTCAAAGAGCTGGTGATTCCATTCTCTGTCTGACTCTCAGCTGCAGAGAAGAGGAAGAAAACCCAGAAATAGGGCTTGGATGTACTTCCACAGTACTTCTTCTTTTGCAGGTGCATTTCCATGCCTCTCTTTCSTAATTCCTAGGTGAAAGCTGTCAGGCTTTTGTCAGGTTGTGGTGGAAGGGTCCTCTCCAGAGGTGTTGGTGCACTGAGGTGTCCAAACCCTCTTCARCCTCATTTGGCTGGAATAGCTGTGCACTGCTCTTTATTTATGGAGAGCCCGCTTGTCATTCCCTCTGGAAGGCAAGGAATCAGAYGGAAATATAATAATAATAGCAATAATAACAGTAATAATAGTAATAAAATAATTTCTTTTATAAGTACTTTTAAAGGAATCATCGTGGAATGCTATGCTTTGCCATTGCAAAAAAACACTTTCTTTCCTTCTTTCTTCCTTTCATTCTTTCTCTCTTCCTCTTTTTTTTTTTCTCATTGCACAGCTTTTCCCATCCTTTTGTCAGAAATCGAGAGAAAAATACTTTTTTTATATTAAACCAAATTTTATATGAATCTGTAAAGGACAAAAGCCTTTAAAGAGAGTTTTTTTTTTCATAAKATTACTTTTGTTTCATTAGTTGATRCCCCAAGCTTGACCTACCTTTGTCATACTGTAGGTTTACAGAGAAAAGAAACTGCAAAGTTTTAATATTTAAAGACATGGCCTGACTGCTTTTAAGCTTGTCTCACAAAGTGCTGCCAGTGTCAGCTTCCAGAATTTCTTCAGATTTTCCTTAGTGTGCAGATGTGGATCAGATGTGTGGAAATGGTGTGCGAAAAACCCACTGCTGAATGTGCAAAGWATCCATTTCTTTCTCAATCGACACACAAGGAGCTGTGTTGTGTTCCTGCAGAGCCCTTCCACTGCTCTGGGGGTACCACCCATTGTTCCTGAGGCAGGAGTGGGGTAGGGAAGGGAAGAGCGTGGAGATAAGGTGGGAGAACAGCAGAAGCTGCATTTTCAGGAGAATATTTTCCCAGGCTTTTCGTAAGCTTGCTTTTGTTGTAGAAATTCCCTGAAGGCAAGCAAAAATTTCCCGTTTTGCTGAGCCCTTCAAGTCAAAATCGCTTCAATTTCTTTTGCTGCCCAGATGTCTCAACGTGCAGTGGCCAAGATAAGTTTTGCTTTTGAACTTGGAGAAAAAAAAAACCCAACCCCAAGCATTCCTTAGGGGCAGAATGAGTGTTCCTAAGCACAAGGAACAAAGGGAAAGAGTTATCTGAGGCTTCCCAGGCTGTGTTTGACATCTTGTCTGCGCCCCATGCTTCAGAGCTGGGGCAGGGAAGGTGGGGAGGGATCCTTGGGAATGGAGAAGGCAGTTTTTTGTGAAGGTGCCCACAGCCCAATTCCCCCTGATGTAAGGCTTGGTGTAGAGTGAGGAATATCCTCCAACACCCAGCTGAGCCCCAGAATTTCTCTGGAGAGGGATGGGAGCTGGTGGGGAAGCTGGCCAGCGCCTTTTGAGGTCCAAATAGGAACAGAATACAGAAAAATCGGGTTTAAACTCAGAGTGAGCCAATGCTTTAGCATTTCCAAAGGAATGACCCTTTCTCCTGCAGGAAATCCCCCAGCTGGTTAGTACAGAGATGTTGTGCAGCAGGTAAGGGGGTGCAGCTCAGTGCAGAGGTGCTCCATTACAGGAAAAGGGGCTTTCCAGGGAGCCAGGTCGAGTTGGAATTTCCCTCTTTYCCTTCAAAACCAGGTGGATTGTCCCGATGGTTTTCAGTGGTCAGGTGTAGGGTGACATGTCCTGAGCCTCACGGTGCATGAACAGTGGACATTCCTGTTCATCCAGCTCTCACAGCTTCCTGCAGTTCCCGYGCTTCCCAGATAATCTGTGCTTTCCCTGCCTGCYCATGGAGAAGGGAACTGATCACCCCAAGTCACCGAGCCCTCAGTGCTCTTTTGGCGCTCTGCCTCATCCCCTGGAGCTCTGTCACTGAGAGCACAACCCAAAAATGCTGCTGTGGCTGTCCCTGTGCAGGATTCACCTGGAGGACCTGAGCCAGAGCGTGCTGCTGCACATGACCGAGAAGCTGGGCTACAAGAACAGCGATGTCATCAACACCGTGCTGTCCAACCGCGCCAGCCACACGCTGGCCATCTACTTCYTGCTCAACAAGAAGCTGGAGCGCTACCTGGCCAGCCTCAGGGTGAGCCCTCGGGGTGCCACGCTGGGGGAAGGGCTCAAAGTGTCCTGGAGTGCTGGTGTKTGATCTCACAGGATCACAGAGTATCCCAGGGGTCACCCAGCCCAGCTCCTGGTCCTGCATCCCCGTCCCTGGGGAGCCTGGGCAGTGCCAGCAACCTCTGGGGACAGAAGARCCTTTCCCTGAGATCCAGCCTGACCCTCCCTGGCACAGCTCCAGCCATTCCCTGTCCCAGGCCACCAGGGAGATCAGTGCCTGTCCCTCTCCCCCTCACAGGGAAGTTRTCATTGGGATGAGGGCAGTGGCCCTACAGAAACAAAACTGCCATGCAGAGCCTCTGGTGTGTKTTATGATGCGCCCTGTGTGGAGATGGTTCTGCTGCTTGCAATGCCAGCAACACAATTTATTGAGTCAGGACATCAAGAAGGAGCTTAAAATCTCTTAAATCTATTTAACTTTTGAGTGAAAACTCAGCTTTACCTGAGCTAGTCTCCCTGGCCCCTGAGCATGGCTCAGCCCTTCCARTTTGATAACAGCTTCTGATTTTTTTTCGTTCCTCAGTGCTTTTCACATTAATGGTGCCACCAGTGATAATGAGTTTTCTGTGCTTTTCTCTCCACAGAAGGCTGAAGGCCAGGACAGCATTTGCCACAAGAACCAGCTGTACCAGATAGAAAAATACAAGGCAAATAAAGACTCCTATGAGGTAAAGCTCGCCAAATCTTGCTGAAGGGCTTTGAAAGCAGATGGGATCTGAGCATCCTTGATGGTTGTGGTCAAGGTCATGGGTTTGTGGAYCTGTGGAGAAAAAAGAGAGCTGTGGTCTTGCCTGTGCAGGACAAATAACTCCTTTTATTTCTTTTCAAAGAAACAAATAGTAGCCCTCTGGAGAAAAAATCCAAAGGTAACTTCCAGGGGTTTTATGAAAATAAATTTTTTTAAGTTTCTGTTTAGCAAAATGATGCAAACTCAGGGGGCTCTGTAGTTTCATTCTGGTGTTACAAAAAGATGAAAGCTGAGGGTTCTTGAGGCTCTGAGGCTGGAGACCCTGGTGGTGTAGGGCAGAGAGCTGAGTGACAGGCAAGGTGACCCTCCTGCTGCCAGGAGCGGTGGATCTGTGTTAGCACAACACTCCTCAGAGTCAATTTTCACTGCTGCTTAGCAGAAGGGTCAGCCCACTGCATCCTGAGGGAATTCCCTTGGGCAGACAAAGAACTTCACCTTTGTTGGTCTCCATCCTCTTTGCCTGCGAGCAGTGAAGATACTTTGTATTAGATCACTTTGTATTAAATCACGGCTGGGCTTTCCTTCCCCGGCCGATTCTCTGGATTCTCTGCCGAGCACTGAAATTACAGGAGTAACATGAGCTGTGCGAGCCCTCCCTGCCAGCACAAAGAGCAGCATTCTTGAGGAGTCTGCCCATTTCCAGAGCTGCTCCTCAGCCCTGGGTTGATGATCTAATTGCAGGGGCACATTTGTGTCGGGGCTGGTTTTGTTTATTGTAAAGGCTGCTTGCTAGACGAGCTGAACTTCGAGCCAGATGGAAATTCCAGGGCATAGTACCGACTCTTTTCTGGAATAAATCAGAACCATCTTGCTTGAAACACATCAGCAGTGGGTAACTTGGTGAAGATGGTGTTTCACAAAGCTCTCCCAGATCGCTCAAGCTGTTGCAGGGCAGCATTCCCTGGAAACAGGGGCAGGTATTGGGAGCTGAGTGCTGCATGGAACATCCTGGTGCTCTCTGGAACAGCCTCTGGTGACAGAGCCACTGCCCTCTGGGACTCTGCATTCCCCAGGAATTACTCACAGCTTTGCTCCTGGGCAGGTGGAAGCTGTACTTCCCTGAGGAAAGCTGAAAGCTGATGGCAGTGCCAGGCTATGGCCCCAGTTTGGTTTGTAGGCAGGTTTGGGGATAGGAGCTCCCTGCAAAGCCTGTCCTGCACTCAGAGCTGGTCCCAGGGCAGCTGTTTAGGGCATGAGGGGTGTCCTGTCTTCCTGGAAATAATTACCAGGCTGTGCTCACTGTGCAGACACTGCAGCAGCAATAATAATAATAACAATAATAATAACAACAACAACAACAACAACAACCCTGTCTGTTCTGCTGCATGGGCACAGCTGGGCAGGGAAGCTGCAGGGCAGGCTGGATGGGGTTTGGAGCAGCCTGGGCCAGGGGGATGTGTCCCTGCCCATGGCAGAGCATGGAGATGGACTGCAGGGTCCCTTCCTCCCTCTTCTGTGATTCTGTGATTTTCTGTCTCTTTAGCAGTACTTGCACCAGGGGACTGTGTTGCTTTCACTGTGCAGGGACAGGTGAAGCAGCACACCCTGGGCTGCTGCTGCCGTTTGTCACTGAGACATTTCTCCTGAAATGCCTCCATGTGGGTGGGAACACAGCCCCGGCAGTGCCCAGCTCARTGGGTGCCACCTGGACTCAGGGTGGGGGGTTTGTGAGCTCAGGAAGGTTCCTGGGCTGGAGATGGAATCCCTTAGCCCTCCCTGCCGCTTCCAGAGCAGGAATTGGGAGCACTGGTCCCTGGGCAGAGCTGCAGGTTGCCATGGGAATGGCAGGGGGAGGGATGGCCAGCTCCAGCTCAGCACACCATGGAATTCTGCTCTCTCCAGAGATGGGAAATAAGACAGACATGGCCAAGGCAAATACCCTTTATCTGCCTTTCAGATGCATTGCTGGGACCAGGAGTGGGTTTGAGGGTCAAGGTCAGGACAGGAAATAGCAGAGGATGATGTAATTCCCAACCCATTCAAGCACAGCATACCGGTGTTGCTCCTGCTTTATGGGGCAGTGGGACATGGCCGTGTGCTCTGCACTGAAGGGGGAATTTTACAACTCCACTGAATGAAATCTGCCTTCCTTTTGAACACAGCAGCGTGTGGCACCTTGGGAGTTGAGGACTTTGGTCCTGAGCCTCTCACAGTCACGGTCATAAAGGAGCAGTTTCAAAAACACTCCTGAGACAGTTTGCAGTGCTCATGCAGCGTGCAGGAACTAATGCCAGTAGCGGGTACATGCATTTCCTGTGCCAGGAGTGCTGGGATTGTGTGGRGTGGCTGGGAGAACATTCCAGCAGGGTGAGGGCAGAGTCAGGGGCTCTTGGCAGGACTGGGGGAAGGAACTTTTCCTCACTTTTTAAAAAACACTTGTACTTACAGTGACCTTTTAATAAGATGCASCAAAAAGTGTTGCTTAAATGGGAACTGCGACCACAAAAACAACCCCAAACCAACCAAAACTTTTGGTTTTTGATGTGAAAGAAGACTTTTGTCTTCCCCAGAATTTAGTGGTAGGTAAAGGGCATTATGCAGTTGGTCTGGATGCAGTGACTGAAAGAAGAGTTGTCTCTGTAAAACAGTGCTTTGAGAATTGTCTCTCTCTTCAGAGTCCTCCTCTGGTTCTGTTTTCCCTCTGTCATCCCTGGAGGTCAAACCTGTCTTGCTCTTGCAATCCCACCTTCCCCATCCTGACCAGGAGACAGGCCTCAGGGAAGGGATGGCTCAGGAATTATTTCTCCCTCCATGTCTTGTGCCTTYGCAGAGATGCTGTAAAAGCAAAGGCCGCCTTCCTCCAGATCTTGTCTGGACAGAAGATAAACARCTTAAAGACTTTAAACTTCTTTAAAACTTCCCAGCTCACCTTTTTAAATGTCAGGGGGAGTGGAGTAAAGACAAATCACCTTTTTGGTGATTAAGCAGGGTACTTCAGGTGTGGAGGAGCACATASCTTTACCTGCTTGCTCCAAGAGGAAAGCTTTCCTTTTCCTTTAATTTTCCAAAAGCAGCTTTCACACTGCCTGAATGTCCCAGCAGATGGGAGCCATGAACTCGTGGCAAACTGATCAGAGGAAAATGACACATGGAGGATTTAGTTACTCTGAGTAGCCAGAAKAAGTTCCTTTAAAATATGTAATCCACCTTGTAGTTCTGGGGGTCGCTGAAACTTCCCGTGAGTAAACCCAATTGTTCTTGTTTGTTTTACAACCTAAAGGACAAAAAACTCAAAGAGCAAGAAAAGAAAGGGGAGATCCTTCACCGTCAGCTCCCAAAGAGAACTGAGAAAGGTCCAGTTTCATATAGACAGCCTTCTTCCTGTCTTATCTCGCAGATCCAGAACACCAAGGCTCTGCTGAAGGACCGGAAAGTCGCCAAGGCTGAGGGTCCAGACAAAGGTCAGTGGGAGAAAGGCCAGTGGTGTGCATGTGTGGTGTGGTGTTATTGAGCCTGTCCTGTATGTTGTGTGTTTGTGGGCAAAACCTCGGGGTTTGTGGATAAAACCTTGGGGTTCGTGAGTAAAACCTCAGGGTTTGTAAATAAAACAAACCTCRGGGTTTGCATCTCCTGTCCCTGTGGGGCTTGATAATGTCACCACAYGTGAAAGGAAACACCCTGAGGAAAGCATGATGGTGTTCAGTAGCCAGGAATCCTCCCTTTCTGTGCTTGTCAGAATTCCTGCAGTGCTTTAAAAAAGCAGTTTYTGTTGCTGTTTACACATCCTCACCCAAAACCATCCCCACTCACGCTGGTGTTTAGAAAGCATCACCACCCACCCYGGGTCACTGAGGAGCTGGAGCTGGTAGCCAAGCTGCTTCCTCCCAGCCCCTGTGTTTGCCTGAGAGGGGGAATCCCTGACCTCGAGGAGTCCCTGGGAGGAGCAGATGATGGTGGAGGATTGGGAGAGAGGCAGCCTCGAGGAGAGGCAGGTGGGACTGCCAGCCTCAGCAAATTTCCAAAAATTCCAGCAAAAGGAGCCAGGTGAAGCTCAAGCAGGTAAAGATGAGACAGGCAGAGGAGAGTAGAGCTTTAATCACAGAGGGCAGCCTGGAGGGATGGCTGAAAGGAGAGAAGGGAGTGAAGGAAAGGGGAAGTCAGCAGGGAAAGGGGGATGTGGACAGAGCACACCTGGGTGGGACCTGAGGAGCAGGAGGGGGATGGAGCTGCTGTTAAATCAGGAACTGAGTGAGGGGAGGGCACTGCAGAGCAGGGTGGGGATGTACAGAGATGGAAAATGTCCGCTGTGGGGTCAGGGAGTATTTACTGAGGTGGYTTGTGATGCTTTCATGCTCATTCTCGTGGCTTGATAATTCATCGTTTGTTGCTCTCAGCCTGAAAAAGGTTGTGTGAACAGTGTTTGTGTGGCAGCACAGGAACCTCTGCTGCAAGGTGGCAGAAGTCCAGAGAGCTGGTCAGGAATGGTACATGCTTCCTGTGAAAAATGTTAAAAAAAACATATAAAAATGCCATTTTGCTCAGATTTGTTGTCCCTTTTAGGAGGAAGGCGTAGGGGAAAGAAAGTCTAGTTCATTTCCCCCCTCTTTGTGTTTCTCCCTGCTTTTTTGATGTGAAACCTGAAAACCAAGCAGATCTTAGCTGAAGGCATTTCTCTGCTTGTAGAAACTGTSTTTTGACACATCTTAAATGGTCAAATAATTTTGAAAAGGAACTGGTCAGGTTCCACTTGTTCTGCTTTTGCCAGGCAAGTGTGAGATTTCATCCTGTCCGTCCATTCATGTCTCAGCCACTGACAAAACCATCCCTCCACAAGAAATACGTGTGAGATTTGTGCCTGTGGCTCGAGGGCTGGCAGAGCTGATTTTTTTAGGTCCTTTTTGGGTGATTCAAAACCGAGGGAACTCATGGAATAGTTACTGATTAATTCAATGAGGGGGACCTGGCAGTCAGGCTCCTTGGACAGCTTTCCATCGAGGCAGCAAAACGTGCCTGCCCGTGATGAGCTTGGCATGAGGCAGTGCCAGCATCCTGTAGGAGCTGAGCACATCTTCTCCCCAAGCTGTTTGCTTTGACTGGGCCAAGTCCTGTAAAGATTGTTCCATTTATTTTCGGCCCTTGCTGGAGGAAGGTTCCTGCTGAAGTCGATGCAGCAAATCTGTTCCAAGTGCAGCAGCCTGAACCTGCCCAGTGCTGCYGTTCCATATTTAGATGTGTGAGAGCAGATATTTACACAGAGATAAGATTTTGTTCCAAAATGCGAGGAGAGCCATCAGGTATTAACTCACTGTGCTCTCCAGGTGTGTCAGTGGGTACAGACCCTGCAAGAGCCATACCAAGTTGTGCTGAGGAAGGAGAAATGTGAGATTTGTCAGGCGCGGCCCTGGAAGATACAATTAATACAAAGAGCTGAAGACATTTGTGGTTTTCCTTTTCACATCCTTGTCTTAATTTAAGCATTTTACTGCCTGTGAGGAAAGGGGCAGATAAATTATGCAGGAAACAACAGTGTGAGTGTTCAGTGAGAGAGGGAATGGGTTCTGAGTATCCCAGACCATTTGTTGTGGCTGGTGGATTGAATGTACAGGTTATGGAAGGATGCTGCCCACAGGGCAGGCAGTGCTGGTGACCGCACTGTGCTCCTGTGCTTCCTTCTCCCCTTGCCTTGCAGACTCTGGCGGYGGGCTGAGCCCTTTCCATGAGCCCCTGGTGACCAAGACGGGCTGTGTGACCTCCAGCTCCCTGGAGTACCTGGAGGTGCAGCAGCCCCCGCCCAGGACGCCCCGGCTCCTCAAGAGGCAGGAGTCTCCGCAGCCGGAGCCRTCCCGCATCGGGGGCCGGCCCAGGGACTCACCCCTCATCCTCAACATCGTGCACTCCTTCGAGTCGGTCGACAGGGAGGACCAAATGGACCAGGTTTCCCCCTCCCATCAGTACCGAGTTCTGGGMTCGCCGATGAATTTCCCTTACAAAAGCTCCAGTGAAAGGACACTGTCCCCGCTCTTCCCCCCGGGCAGCGCGTCCCCGATCCACCCCACCCAGGTCTCGTTCACGTACGAGGAAAAAGCGTACCCAGCGAAGGAAGAGGCCGTGTCCCCCACTCAGCTGGCTCCCAGCAACCCCCTGGGCAGCCCAAACTGTGTGAAAAGCCGGGGCAGGTTCCCCATGATGGGGATCGGACAGATGCTGCGCAAGAGGAGCCTGACCATGCAGCCGGCCAGCGAGAAGCCGCTGGAGGCCAGGATGCCTCAGCTGCAGCAGATGAGCCCCACGCAGATCTCCTTCAACACAGAGGCTCTCAGCGGCCAGTGTTAGCCCGACACGCTGGGATTTGTGCTGCTCTGCTCTGGGATCTGACCTTTTTCCCCTTTAGGCACGAAGGGAAGGCCACGGGCGCGTTGCCGTCGCTGTGCGATGCCCCACAGCGCTGCGGTGCGCGAGATCAGAGGGTTTGCTCGCGAGGAAGGCGCTGCCCGACATATTAAAGCTGCAAGGAAAKGGCTCTGCTCATGCTACAAAGAAATACTCACATTTGGCATCTGACTGTACAGTAAAACGCCCCGAAGGAGCCGCGTGGATCTGCATTTTCGCTGCTCTGCCCTGGCGAGATCAGGTGGAAGAGCCGCGAGCGCCGAGGTTTGGGTTCCTGCGGGAAATCCACGGTGCCAGGCTGGGAGCTCTGGTGACACTGTCCCTGCCCCACCTGCCTGTGCCACACAGCACGTGGTGCCACTGCTGGCACTGTCCCTGGGGCAGGCAARGGCAAAAACCCAGACACTGAGCCCAAAGCCAGCTGGCAAATCCTGCAGAGGAGATGGTAGAAGCTTGGATAAAGAAACGAGCGGTGTAATTCAGAAAAAGTGGGAATATTGGAATTCAAGGCAGATTTTGCTGTTAATTACATAAAGTAGGTAATAACACACAGTCATTTTTTTTCATAAAGAAAACTATGATTTAATCATGTCTCTCACCAGAAACGTGATCATTTAAGAACAAGTGTCATCATGTGGAAATTCACTGCATTAATGGCCAGTTCCTTTCTCAGGAGGGGTTTGCAAGCAGGTGCTGCAGAAGAAACCCAGATTGCAGCAGGCTGTGTTTGAACCATCAGCCAGCTCCTGCGTCAGCCCCTGTCACAGCATTGGGCACACCTGAAAGCTTCTCYGGGACTGCAGGGAATTCAAAGACTGAGAAAGGACACGTGAACCTGCACCAAGTCCATTTTATACTCCAAGATTGGTAATGGTTACCAAAATCTGGATATTGTTACGAGCAGTGAAGATTAACTTTCTTAGAAGACACCACATTCTGTATACCAGTCTTGTTTTTCTAAGTAAATTATACATCTGAGAGGTTGGCAGCATTTTTTTGTTTCTGTTTCCGTCTTTAAACCATTTCCTATAAATTAGAAGGTTTAGCCAAAGACTAAGGCTGTTTTTTTCTCTCGTTTGTACCGCCCCTGTGTGCATGTTTGTGTGCTCAGAGCATCTCAGCAAAGCTTGTTCCCCTCTGGTTCCCACCTGGGCAGCCCTGGCCCTGCTGCCATCACTTCATGGCATTTCCAAACCCAGGCAGCAGAGGCGGTATCTCCTTGCTGTTGGAAGATGGGATTTTGCCATTGGTAGGAATCCAGGCCCTGTCTTCATCCTTATTCTTACAATTTCATTGCCCCGTTGGTGTCTGTGCAAATAACACACATGAAAACCCCAATATGATGAGAAAGACAGCCTTGAAATAATGTTATCCGTTTTAAGATGAGGAAATGTTACATTCTGTTTGTGGAGACCACCTGTKCATCCCAGGGGCCCATTTTAGCTCCTTCATTTTCATTCAGAGAATTTTCATTCCCTTCACCTTAAGAACACGTTTGTGCTGCAAAGCCAGTGGGCAGGGACTGCTGAAATCAGGGATCACTGAAATCAAGGAATCAGTGAAATCAGGGACCACAGAAATCAGGGATCTCTGAAATCAGGGACTGCTGAAATCAGGGATCAGTGAAATCAGGGATCACTGAAATCAAGGGATCACTGAAATCCCTCCCTTTGTGTCCATCACACTCACATACACAAACAGATGGCAGATGCTGACTTGGATTACAAACTCAGGTTAATTTARAATCCAATAAAAGGTTGGGGGAGGCAAGAAAGACTTACTTGTTTGGTTTGTTTTTTTTTTTTATGTGTATTTTTAATTTTTTTTGTGGAAACACAGGAAATATGTGTAAGAATCAGAATGAAAACAAATGAGAAACCTTTTGTGATATTTATAGAGAATATATGAGCACTGCACTGCTCAAACATAACCATGCATCCAGCATTGTCAGTAGCTATGTACAGTCCAGCTGCAGTGRCCACAGAGGGAACCTCTGTGGAAATATATCAGAGTGGAAATTCCAAAAGGAAAAGCTGTATTTGGTATCCTTATTAAATAGACGTACTTTTTGAACAAGGTTGCCACGGGCTGCTGACTTTGTTTGCCAGGTAGCCAAGATGATCTCAGTACGAACACTTCAAGGCCAGGGTGGACAGGGCTCAAAGCAGYCTGGTTTGGTGGAAGGGTGAGCTCTTTTTGTGGTGTTTGGCACCAAACCTGCCGTGAATCTGTTTGACAGAGMTGAAAATACACCTTACACTCCAGGCTGTGCATCAGGGAAGGAGCAGTTCTGGGCTTTGGTGCAAGGTTGAAACATTTTGGTGGGTTGTTTCTGAGCTGAGGATCACATGCAGAGCCAATGGMGCAGCTGTGAAACACCAAAAGGAGGATTTTGCAAACTGACAGATCACTGGGCAGCAGCTCAGGATCCAGAGTGCTGGAATTGTTTTTGTTCAGGCTCCTATGCCTGGAAAAACAGGTGTTGGTTTATTTGGGGAGAAAGAACAGATATCAGCATCTATTGCTAAAGGTGTTGGTCTTTGTATTTCTGCTGTAAATGGGCTGCTATATACAAAAAAACTTCACTGCCGTTGCACCCCAAGCTCGTGGGGGCTGTGCTTATCCAGAAGTGAGCTGCAATTTCAGGGACACTATTGCWGTGTGCAGGACCTGGGATTCTGCCTATCCGTTCCCTGCCTCTTCTATCTTCTCTGGCCACAAATGGTCCATTTTCTCTCTCTTATCCCTTTCCACGTGGCTTCCTTGGAGCAGAACAGAACTCTTCAACGTTTGATCCCAAAGGAAACCTGTAATAGGATGATGTCTGTTCCTGAGGCACAGGCAAGCAGAACAAAGGGCATCAGGACAGAGCCTGGAGTTTGGAGTTTGCAGGAGCATCTCTTCTGTCTCCCTGCTGATGCCAGGGCACCCAGAGGGAAGAAATAATGTGTTTATTGATGAAGGATGAGGTGCTAAGTTTGTTTTCAAATCAAATGAAATACGGTATTTATTAATGTTTGTGTGAAGAGCACTCTATCCATGTAAAAAACCCCCCAATTCCTCGTGTCTGTTACAAGCAGAAAGGCAGAATCCAAAACAGAGAAAGGTTACCAGAAGCTTCATTTCCAAATGACCATTAGATAAAACAAGGGTTTTCTCTCCCATCTCTGCCTRCTCCCAGACAATTTTGCCCTGTGTGGACTTGGATCCATCTTTCCTGTTCATCCCACTSAGCTGGTCAGGGTTTCCTCCACCTTGTCCCCCAGTCCTCATCAAGTCTGGGAAATCTCTGATTTCAGAGACTTCCTTTGGTAGGAGGCAGTCGGGAGGGCTCAGACCTTTTTCAGGAGGCTGATGCATGGTGAAATGGATCTGTGACAGGGGCTCCCAGACAGGAGCCATCTTCTGATGGCTCAAAACCAGAAATCCAAGGCCTTTTTCTTGGTTTAAACATGAAGGGAAATTTTGGTCGTGCAAGAACTGATCTGCCCGTGCTGCCTTCAGCAACAAGTGTGCCCCAACCTTCACAGCAAAACCTRCTCAACGTTTCACATCCCTGGCCCCACAGACAGGAGGTTCTCATCTTCTCCTGCGTGGGAGGAGGAGGACACTGCAGGCTGGTGCCAGGGACGGGGCCTCGCCCTGTCAGTACGCAGTGACAAAACTGTCACAGGTCACCAGCTCTCCTGGCCTGAAATGCTCTCAGGTGAATCTGACAGTTTTGAGTCTGCTGTTAAAATTTCTGGACCCTCAGGTCTTGCTGCTGGGCTGGATGGTTTGGTGCAGAGCCATGAATGAAAAGACTTGGGTTCCTGGGCAGCAAAGGTGGTTCAGAATACAAGGCTGGGAAAACAAATGTCTGAGAGCACAGATTTAAATGAAATGACAATGCATCYGGTGCTTTCCCCCAAACTGAAACTAGTTCTGTTAGAACCTTTCCCCTTGCTCAGCAGCTGGAGCTACTGATGCTTTGAAAAGCTCACCTTTCCCCTGCCAGCAGCTGTGTTTGGGCTTTCTCTGCTGAAGCAGCATTCCTAGCAGCACTTGCTGTGCCGTGTTCCCTACGGCTGGAGCAGCTCCGGCACGGTTCCAGGGGCTGGTGCAGCATCTGAAGGACAKGGAGGTGACAGGGAGGTGACAGGGAGGCTCCCTGCCAGGCTCAGACCTGGCTCAGCCAGGGCAGCTGCTGTGCTGCTGTAAATCACAGGCGCAGGTGGTGTCCCCAAGGGCTCGGGTGCCTCTCTGGACAGGGTGGCCCTGCAGCGTTCCCTGTGGGAGGTGCTCAGTACAGCTCAAAGCCAGAGCTGCACTGTGTTTTGGGGTGTCTGTTCTATCGGGAAATGAAACAGAGCAGAGTGATTGCTGARGGTCTGTGTCAGCTGCATTCACTGCCCCTGTGCAGGAACAGCACTGGGGTGAAGCAGAGCAGATTGTCCTGTGCAGTRCAAGGACAGTAGATTAGCACACCCCAGGGCCCCTCTTGGGGTGTTTGGTTTCAATATTTCACCCACGGATGCAGCTGCCTGTGACCCCCTGTCCTTTCCTGGTGACCGGGCAGGGATGCCAACTCTTGGCTGGGCACAAGCGCTGCCCTTCCACATTTCTGTCTTTGCTGAGCCTAACACTGTGTTGTGGGTTAAGGTTCAAACCAAGACACACTGTGTGCTCGGGCAGCTCCTTCCCTCCTCCCCAGCCCACCTTAATCTCGGAATATTTTCTGCTGCTTGAATTGTGGTTGCYAGGAGAGCAGCTTGCGTGGACAGTGTCATCTTCATTCAGTTACCTGCCATCCCCTCTGAATGAAGACACCAATCACCAGGCTGGGACCTGATGATTTACCTGGGAGGATGGGATTACACGGCAATTAGGGAAGATCAGACTCGAACCTGACATCCCAGAAACAATTCTCACAAGCATTTTGCACTGCCCATTCTCACATTCTTTCAGGCATGTCAAATAAAGCCTTAAAAGTCGGCTTCTTAAATCCGCTGTGCTTTGTACTCGGTGCTGGGGTGATGAGAAAGGTGAACTGCTGGCAATTACTCGTGTCACAGTGTCACACTCTGCCTCGTGTCCCAGGCACTACCGTGATGACAGCCCTGCTCGGGCCCAGGTACTGACCTGGAAATGTGAGATGGCTGTGGGGGGGTTTTCATCTTGGAAAGAAAAAGTAATTGATGCCTTGGAGTGGCTGCTGTGCCCTCAGAATGTGAAAGAGCTACTGACTGAACGGGATTTTTTAATAACTGGGCATGTAAACCCAGGGCTGCAGCCATGAAATCATGTATTTTAATAGACATGGATCTTACTGCTCATTAATAACTAAAAATCCTCACAGCTTCCCCCTATTTCTTCCAGCAAGGGGCCTTCGCAAAGCAGCCATGCTTGAGCAGAGGGCTTAGACMAAAAATGGGTGTTAAGGATGGCTTTTGTTGGATAAGACAGGAGAATGCTTTTATTGTCCTTTATTTCCCTTTGATCCTCTCTCCAAGGAGCTGCTTTATGCTGGTTTTAGTGGTTTAGGTTGGTCTGTGCATCCCTTGAGGGTGGAAGGAGTRCTCCTGTCACGTGTCTGAAGGCATCACAGGATGATGCTTCAGTGCTCGGTGCTATTCACATCTGTGCAACTTTGTCCTTAAAACTGATGCTGCAATGTTTGGGAAAATGGTGGCTTCTGCACAATGTTATAAAGTCTCACCACTTTTTCTGATAAATGGTTGTATTTCTAAGGTTACATAAAGTTTGCACACGTATTTTGAAGTTCAAAACCTCTGCTGAGAAGAGGCTTTAGCTAAGAAAAGCTGTGAGGGAGAGGTAAAAAGGGGGGAGTTAAAGGGGGCAGGAGGACTTGGGTCATGGCAGATGTGCTTGTATGGAGCAATCCACATTAAGGGAAGAGCGGCCACAGGCTGTAAAACCTCTTGCAATGAAAAGCAGGTTGCTAGAGAGCCAAAATTGGAGAGAAATCCGTGGAGAAGCAGAGCAGGAGTCGCTGCTCCGTTGCTAGGTGATGGATCTGTTATCATGCTAATGACAGTGAAGGATGACACCGGTACCAATAAAACATCTTTCATCTGAGAATTGCCAAGGGTTTTCCAGACAGCGAGGCTGTATTATTCCCATTTACCAGAGGCACAGACAGAGATGAATTGGTTTGCCAAAGGTCRCTGACGGATTTCAGAATAAGAAATTGCCCAATTTGAGTTTTATTAGGCCGGGGATTGCCATAAACTCTTTCTTTGCAATCAATCCCTTGCCCTCCCCTCATCCATCACCCCCACATCCCTCTCTCCGGAGGGGACACGCTCCTGTCTTGTTTGTCATTCTTGTCCTGTTTGGATTACAGGATCCCCTGGCCCCGGAGCGTGGCTTAGCAGGGGTTGGGAAGGGCAAAGCAAATGCGTGGACCAAGCTCAGATATTTTGGGTCCGCGTGAACGAAAAGAAAGTACTCATTCCTCCCAGGGACTCTGAGCAGGGAAAGTCCAAGGAGCTCCTCAGGGGCAGCAGGGCTGTGACTGTGGGGTGAAGGGCTTTTAGACTGTCCCCAGTGGTTTTGTGTTAGACACTCACCCAGCACAGCCCAGGAGGAGAAATGTAAGCATCCTAACCCCCCAAACCATCTCTCCCTGATTATCAGCAGGGCTCTTCCACTGCTGGGAGTTCTCAGATGTGAATCAGTGCAGGCATGAGTCAGGCACCGCTTTTGGTTAGAGATCGTGAGGGAAACACGGGCGAGCCTCAATTCTGGCACTTGCAGGAAAACAACCATTTGATT